TCAGTCCACAGATGATGCTATGGGGGGAGAGAACACCAGTTAAGGTACAGTTATGTTGATTAACAACACTCCTACTACTTTCCTTTACTCTTGAGGGAAACAGCCTCAAATATTACATATAAAAGCATGAACAGCCCAGTAGAATTTCATAGGCATATTTGGGGATATTTTGATGGCCCTTTCAAGTCAACATAAGATGTCAAAATAAAATCACCACAAACATTTCATGATTACAGCATATCTCACCCTCTAGCATCAGACTGCCAGTATGGAGCAAACAGTCCTGAGAAGGCTGGTACAAAGTGAGTCCCTGCCGTGTCAGGCACTGTGGCAGCAAGGGCCTCTGGGATGGGAAACAAACATTGAGACATGGTCAAAACTGCCAAAACATAGTTCATGGTGCAACTTTAATTTCTTTCTAACTAAACCTTGATCCCACCACATACAGACTATAAGATAAACCTGCCTCTCTATTTGTTGTTGGGAAGACAATTCAGTCATTTGGGAAGACAGTACAGAACTACAAAATCTTATGTATCTAAAGAAATTTGCACATGTATACTGACCTGTATCTGCCTCAAGTTTGTATGGGACTGTTAGACATAGGAGGAAAATGGCAGATGTGTCAGAGACACCTGTCCTGCCATGTTTATCTACATGTACGCTATCAAGGTTAAAATGACATCTTCAAAGAACCATGCAATTACAAATAACAAATTGCCTCTAAATTAAAGCCCATCATATGTTCTGGCACACAAAACAATACAAGATAGCTTCCAATTATGATGATACAAACCAATGTCAGAGGACTTTTGGATGATGCCCAGGTTGTCTCTCAGCCACTTCACACACTCTCCTGCGATGGCCACAGAACCCTGAAACATTGGGTGGACCTTGCAATCAGCAGCTGATTAAATACTAGTATTACAGTAACAACATTCAGTAGATTTAAAAACTGAAAGACATGTACAGGGATGATTTCAAGAATTACAGGACCTTGAATCCTTGAATACATTATGTACATGTCCTACACATCATGAACATATCCTTTATCTTGCCTTACCTCTAGTGCATAGAAAGTTGGCTTGTCCTTCCCCAGTTTGTAAGCAATGGTTGTCAGCAGTCCATGTTCTGATGGAATGGGCTACAAAAGACACAGACATAAATGGAATGAATGACCTTGCACAGAAGGCTTGGAGACATCCTTCATATCATTAATGACAAAAGTTTCTCATCAGCACATGCTTCATAACACACATCAGTGAAGTTTCAGAATCATAAAAAGCTCACCTCAGTCCCTGTGTTGTACAGGAGAAAACACCCTGTGCCATATCTAGGATAACAAAACAAATTCTGTTAATATGATGTATTCCAAACCATCCATGTCCAATACAAAGTATGGAATACCTGAACCCAAATCCTAAACAAGAATTCCGAGACCTCATACCTCCATGAAATATGGGCTTGATATGTAAATGTAAATTTCCTCTTTAATTATGCAAATTACCTCCGCATTAACATGATATATGCATCGTGATGTAGGTGAACTTTTGATTAACGTACAGATGTCCCAAGTATGACATTCCCATCATTCACCATTAAGAAATCATAGAATTTTTGCATAAATTATGCAAATTAGTTCATAATTTGCATAATTAGTATCTGTTGATGTTCTGCCTGCCATAGGTTACATACATTACATGTATGAAAGTAGTATAATGTAAAACACTGTAATTATAGAATTTCCTCATTAATAATGCAAATTAAGTCGTCATTTGCATAATTTGTTTTTAATCATGTACATCTCTCTCTCAGCTACCTACACACCAAAAATTATGAAAATATGTTGTTCCTATCTTGACTTATTGGCTTTTAAACATTTCGCCAGAAAGTGCCCTGCAGTTCCAGAACAAGCTGCTAGGGGGACCAAACCCACACCACTTATTCCTGGCAGGAAAAGCAATCTGTCACCAAAACATCAAGACCATAGCATGTTCAGAACAAAAGATACAAAAACCGGAAGTTCTGCTGCAGTACCAAGGTCATCCACCAGGAGGCCCATATTTGACCTTGACGTTTGTCTTCCTAAGACTTACCAACATACCAAATATCATGACAATCCATAAAGGCGTTCTGAAGTTATGCTGACCACAAAGTTGCGGAAACACAGACAGACAGACACACAGACACACAGACAGACATACATACATACATACATACATACATACATACAGACAGACACGCCGAAAACAATACCTCCATTTTTCATGGAGGTAATAACAGTATCAGACTATGATTACACAAAAGACCTAGTAATCATAATAATCTGACTTACGTGTTTTTGGCACTGCCTCGTGTGAAACAGCACTGTCCCACCAGGGCTGCTGACTGGTCACCCAGACACTGTAAAATCAAACATTCAAGTACAGTCAAATGCTAATGGTTGTAATGTTCAATGCAGCAAATACAAATCCACATACATACAAATCCACATACATCTACATGTACAATATGTACAATGTAGGGCAATAGCCTTATACTGCAGTCACATTCATCATAGGTTGCCATTCTATTTTTATGTTGCACACCAAAGTACCTCATCTTAAACACCAAAAAGGGTCTAAGACAGCATGACATTTATGACCAGCCTCTCCTTTTAGTCGGGCATGAAATATAAGAGCACTGGAAAGTCAATGTATAACACTACTGCCTTCCTTACCCCAGAGATAGGCAGGCCCTTCAGCACACCCTGCACCATGTAGCCATAGATCTCTGACGAACTCTTGATCTCGGGAAGGATCGTCATTGGAAGGGAGAAGAACCTGGAAGGTACAGAAAAGATGTGTGCTTTTGCATGACACTGGCTGATATACGGTATAGATATTGAATATCTAAGATGCAAATGTATTTTGACAATTCAACATCAGAGCTTTCTGCCTACCTGCACTTAGAGCTGTGTACCGGTACGCAGTACCGATACTGTACCGGTAAAATTGATTAGGTACAGGTCCAAAATACCTAATCCCTCAGTACCGGTACTGTACCTAAACAATTTCACACCAATTTTATGCCTATTTGTGACCTCAAATGTGTAAATAGCTGGTTAACAATGGGTCCCTGTGTAAGGACAGTGTGTTCATGAAAACAAAAACATATATATAGCCTATATTTTATCTGAACATTCGCCATAAACAAAGAATAAACCTTAACTATCAAGTTTATTTATGTTTTTTTTTGTTATTGAAGGAGTTCAGAAGAGCATATAAATTGGTCAAATTGTTCAGGTATAGGTTCAGGTCCGGACCTGTACCTAAACCTGTGTACCTGTACCTGTACCTGTACCTGTACCTAAAATTTGTTTAGGTACACAGCTCTACCTGCACTGGTGTGCATATTCATGTATGTAACACTGAAAATTACCTGTGCAAATCTACTGATCTGGAGTGTTTCTGACTTACTTGCAGAGACTTGCGTCCCACTGCTGAGTGTGTATGTTCAGCAGCATGGTCCTGCTGGCATTGGTTACATCTGTCACATGGACACCTCCATTCACCCCTCCTGTCAAGTTCTGTATGGAAGATCAAGGTTTACATGTAGTTATGGATGGATCCACATGTCTACCATACATGTAGCCCAACAAGCATTACAATTCCCTCAACAAAGACGAGGGCACCACAACAGTATACCACAGGATGACAGGAAGAACTTACCCAGAGTAGCCAGGAGTCGACCGTCCCGAACATGGCCCTGCCCTCCCTCACTGCCTGGGCCACCTTCTCACTGTTGTCCAGCAGCCAGCGCAGTTTCACTGCACTGAAGTAGGTCGCCAGGGGAAGTCCACATAATGGCTGCAGGGGAGGGGAATCACTTTTGTTTATAATCATTATATATCAATCCTACTCATCAACATCATCATCACCATCATCATCTTCATTATCATTGCTGCTTGTCAGAAAGTACTGAGGAGGGCTGACATTGTTTCCAATTGTCTTTTGCTACAAGATCACAACTTGGTAGGGAGGTATAAAGCAAACAGTCACCTTCAGGTGTTCCTTGTTCTTGCGTGGTGTGCTGTCTATCAGCCTGTTGACTGTCTCTGCTGTACGCAGGTCCAGCCACACTGCAGCAAAGTAGAACAAATAGACAGTGGTTCAGAATCTTGCAAATGTATCTTCTTCATTTCATGACATTGGGAGAGAAACAAATGATCAAAGTTGTATTACAATGTATTACAACAAATGGTCCTTGCCCACATGTGATGAACCAAAAATGTAGCAATCAATGAAATAATAATAATGCCATTGTTTAACACAAACACTCCAGTACTCACCTATAGCATTGTGCAGTGGCTCTCCTGTATGCTTGTCCCACACTACTGTGGTCTCTCTTTGGTTGGTAATACCAATGGCTGCAGCACAAATAATTAAGGAAATAAAAAATCATTTGGCACCATATAATTAGATTCTGACAAGTGATATTTCTCTTGTTCACTAATGTATTTGCTACTACAGTACATAGTACTAAAACTGGGAACTTGCTTTAAAAACAGCTAGTTTTGGATATTCCTTTGATAATGGAATTGACATCAGATTCTATGGCATCAGATGCACACATCCATACAAATCCATCAAGTTACTGGTTTACTCATTGATTCACCCACCCATAAACGTGTGACATTTGAATGATATATGATATGGGAATGAATAATACCAGACCTTTTATATCATTGACATCGATGCCCAGGTCTCTTGTGTTAGCTACAGCCTTCTCAATACACTCGTACACCGAGGCCAGGATCTCCATTGGGTCCTGCTCCACCCATCTGTGAAATAAAAATGTACAATACCTTGTTACCTTTGTGAAGGTTATTTATATGGGGGTTGGCAACATGTTAAACGGTCATAACTCGGGGTGCATTGGAAGTGTCCTAACAATATTTGGAATGCTGAAGGGTCAACTATCCTTGGGGGGTAAGGGACATGCTCTTCTGGAAAAAATTGTACATGTACATGTGAAATCTTCACCCTCTGAATATTTCCTGCATTTTGATTGGCAAATATTGCTGGTAGACTAAGCTTAGGTTAATGACATCTCTTTCCATATCTTTACAAGACTATCAAAGATGACAGATTGGGCAAAATTTTTATCTGTTGTGAGTAGCAAAATTCCATCAAATGACAGAAAGACAGATGTTGGCAAGAACACTGAATTGTCATATCCTTATCACAAAATGGCCCCACCTTCCCATCTTCCTTTGGTTTGCTGTGTTGACAAAATACTTTAATCCAATACACCAGTGTTGATCTATGCCGTTCATGAGGAACAGGTGTAAACAGAGAACTGGTGTTAGTCAAACCTACCCTTCTTTAGGCAGAACAGAGTGGATCTCTGTCTGATGGTAGGTCAACAGCTCTGCAGAGTTACTGGCAAAGATCTGTGAGGGGAAAACTGGTCAGTATAATATAACTATCAGAAACTGCTTCACTAGAAACATTTCTTGAAGGTATTCTCACATTTTGATTGATCTTACTGAATACTGATACAAACCTCAATACATATGGAAAGTTTCACTACTTGATACAATTCAACTCATGATTTCACCCCCCCCCCACGATACTATTAAGTACAGAGCAATGGTGTCAGCTTATTACTATACATGTATAAATTAAGGCTATAAGACCAAAGCCAGATGAATTTGATAATTTGTTCCCAATCCACTTTGTCTCCTGAGTCTGATTCTGAGGCTACTATTCTCCAAGGACAAAACATCTGGTTTCCATAACTCAAACTGCAAAAATTCTGGGCTCTGACCTGGAATTCTGAAATTATTCTCGTATGTACCCTTGAAAAGCTACAGAAATGTACAGCAATGTTCTAATTGGTGTTTTCATCTGCTCGCAACATGGACTGTTTGCTGATTAACACACAACATTGTAAGCTATAAAGCGTGCAAATTATTCAGCTGTTTTCATATAAATATGCAACTTCTTGAGATCTACAATCTTTTACACAGATGGCTGTTCAAAGCAAGCAGCCATATCTAGAGCTTTTCCAGACAAGCCAGACCAGCCTAGGCTAGTTTCTCACGCCACTCACGATCTGGCAGATTCTACAATTTCTGATGGAAAACACACTTGCTCAGCCAGCTGACACGCCCCTCCCCCAAACTAAACTGGGCAACTGGGCACAAGGACACCAGCGATAACGCGCTTAAAATCGCTCCATGTACCTCCAAACTTCGTCTGAAGGTAGCTTGGTAGATTATCTACGACACAGAAACGAGACACCGACCAGAAACCGTGTGCTGCTCGTGCCTTGGTCCACGGCGCCCACCAGCGGTCCCCAACTCCGGCCAGCCGCCGCCATTTTGAAATTGACCTCGTTCGCTCTCGTCCCGCCCCGCGAGATGACGTAAGAGGCCCGTCATGAGCAGTCTCCAAGCAGATGTGTGGTGTTTCTTTTGGCTCGTTGTCGTATGTAGACTTTTGTATGGAGCGCCAGTTTTTCTGAAGAAAATATATTGCAGCAAACCAGAACCACACATTTGTAAACATAAATAAACTGTACATAACTAAACTCAAAACGTCTTGATCGAAAGCTTAATGGGCTGGAATGGTCGATGTAATTGGGTGAAACAAACGTTGAAAAAAAAAAAATACATTTCGACGAGGATGGGATTCGAACCCACGCGTGCAGAGCACAATGGATTAGCAGTCCATCGCCTTAACCACTCGGCCACCTCGTCAGGTGTTATAGATTTTATTACACTCCCATCTCTTCAATTCTTTATTTTATTCAAAGTACTGCATATTGGCTGCGTGATAACACAATGAAAGATTTTTAAAGAGCTTTTACGTCATGAGTAATTTTTGTGCCATCCTGTCACAACAACAAGTATTGACATCAGTTTAGCAAACGGTGAACCTTCACGCTGACTTCCCGGCATCATTTAAACACGCTTTGAAACTTAAGAGGAACCACAAATACACAAATGCTAAGATATATAATATGAAAGATAATTAATGTTTACGAATTAGCCTTCGGGCAAGAATTTGCAGTATAGGCCTTTATTTTGCAACAAAATATCCAGAGGTAAATTGCGTCACTTAAATTAAGATTCTTCTTGTTGTCCATTCGGGCGTATCGCTATTATCTATTATTGCACAAAACAAGTACAAAGTACATTCTCTCACAATGTTTTATAATACATGTATATACTAGATAGTACTAGAAAGGCCAATATTTGCTTTGGAGCAAATATAGCGATGGGTTCACCACATTTTACCACATGGCAGGGAAAGAATGAGAAACACAAGGGAAAACAATGCTTTACATTGATATAACTATAGTATGAAGTAACATACAACTAAGACTACAACAGTTGGATAGCTATTCCCTACATTATTGGTTAGGATTGCATAATGCAAACTGTTGATTTTCAAGATAAAAAGAAGCGTTCATAGCCCGCATTCCAATGCTGGAGCAGGAAAGCTTAAAATACCTACCAAAACACTTGAATACAGACATACTGTCAGTATGGCATGGCTCTGTGCAGGTGTAAATGAAGTTAAGCCAGTTAAATCCCAACAGCCAATCAGCAAGGAGAATAGAGGAAAGCTGCATGCCTATTGGTTGATGCCTTGCATGCCATTGTGATGACTCATGTCCAAATGTGGTAAACACTGCACACTTACACAGTAATACATTAGCTATTACACAGCCAAAAAACTC